CAATGCAGATCACGTTGTTACAGAAAATGAAGCTATATTTAAGGCAGTACAACATTATATATGTACAACTAAAAGATTCGTGTAAAGAACTGTTCATTCAATAATGTTACTCTCTCTCTCTCTCTCTCTCTCTCTCTCTCTCTCTCTCTCTCTCTCTCTCTCCCTCTCTCTCTCTCTCATCTATAGTGTTTTATGTTTTATGCATATATATTGAATTTGAAATTGTGAATATTTTGTAAATACCAGGGAGAGGGCATTCTAAGTTGGAAGAACTTGTCCCCCAATCCCGTTCACTCCTTGTGAATAAATATGTTTAAATCAAAATCATATATGAACACATTTCTCGAAGAATTGTCTTGGTCATAGAATGTTTGTATACCCTTTGATATGCAGAACAGTGTCACTGATATATATATCTAGCGATGTGCGCGTTAGTCACAAACGATATATGAATTATTCCTCTAGTTTTGCATTATATAATCAATGGGTTCATCCTTTTTTTAAATATTGTGACCACAGGTTATTAAACTGTTGTTAAATTTTATTTCTTCAAGAATTGTAAAAAGTTTTAAAATATAATCCGTGCCATGTATACACTGTTGTTGGACGATTATCCTTACATATACGATTATCCTGTGAGTGTTAATTCTATACCAACAGAGCTTTCTTCGCATCTTTTATTATATAATATTGAGACAAGATGATGAGAAATAATTACATAATAATGAACAAAAACATGTCCAATATTGAATATATTTTTATTTTTTTTGGAAATATTTTTTGAGGACTTGATTACGTAAAATTGATGTCAAACAGGTGCGTGTCTTGTCCAATTGAGATACACTGTAAACTATCCAATTGTTTACCCATTCAAGACATGACGTCAAGTAGAATGGTGTCATTTTTTTAGTAATTCATTACAATTGATGATATGGTTAGTGCTTCATTAATAATGGTGCAACGTTGGTCAACTTACACAATCAGCAGAATGTCGGAATCTAAGGACCAATTTATAGGTTAGAATCAGCCATCCATTTTCGCTATTACTTACTTTTTATGAAGTACAATTTCATCATTTCTTATGTGTTTTTTATGCCTAATCGTATACAGTTTCAATATCGATATTTGCGTTGGAATAGTTTGGTTCCTCGTGAACAAAAGAACACGAAAATATATTGTCCTTACCACAGCTAATTCTCGCCAAGAGACCTTAGTTACAATAAACAAGTTATGCCCCCTTTTCTTTGAACGCGTGTAGCCTCTGTCGCCATTTGACGTCATAGTGGTAAATCAGATTTCGTCATTTACGGCAGGCTATTTTTTACATTGAATTTACATCGTAAAACATACGGATATAACTCCATTTGATATATATTTATGTCGTTCAAATATTAGGCAGTGTTTTGTTCGCTCACAGTTTCGGTAAAGCTGCTGAATAAAAATATTTTATTTTGCAGAGATTGCTTTTGATTATGGAAATAGTTAAGTCGCTTTCATTCATATTATTTAAACATATGTCCTGTAACATCCGCAAATCAGAATCTTGCGATCTGCCATAATCGCATATGATGACAAACGCATTTGAACAAATGAAAGAAAACTGCACCTGATTTGTTTTTTTACATCTGGTTTCTTTATCCATGTTTTCTTTGTGTCATCAAAGTCACTCGGTAATGTATGCAGCTCATTCGTCACACTTCCACCATCTCAAATATTTGAATGTTGATTAATTAATAATAATAATTAAATATTGATCCCCCAGTCTACAGAAATGGGTTTAAAGGAGTGCTGACGAAAGTACAGATCATGCCATCATGGTTTATAATCGGCGTTTCCGCATGTTGATGTGTTATTGACATCGACTTCACACCGAACAAAAAAAGAGAGAGAAATTGTTACTTGTGCACACACTATAGACGTAACCATAATGAAGAATCGATCGTGGTATTTTTGCTGAGGTCGCTTACGATTGAACGCCGCAGGGATGAACACATACTCCAAAGTTCACAAAAGTTTGGACTCGATGAGACAGAAGCCATTAGTCAGATATTTTTTTTCATAGTCTGCCTCACGGTTGATTTATTTCTCATAAAGGTTTGGACAATGTCTGTGTATGGATCTGTCAGAAACTGTAGTGAATAAGTCGATTTAAGTTGGATTTAAAAATATAGTATTTTAGTGCAGAGCTCAAGATAAGCAGCGTATTTGCGAAAATAACCCCAAAAAATATTCAAACCCCAATTACTTTCAATTAACTTGCGTTCAGAAACGCATGCATAAAATGAAAAACTCGTAAATACCCATTGACGCTTATCAGCATGCGTACAAATTAGCTACCGTACACTAGACTACCCGACCGCCCTCTCATAGCTAGAATATTGCTGTGTGTGGTGTAAAATGATAAACATAAATAATAGCATTTCGTTCGATTACAGGTTTTCTAAAATGGACGCACTATGGTACTATGATTATCCAAAACACATCTGTGTGTGGTTTTGTTCACGCATGAGTTCCATTTCATTGGCGGGTGTTAGGTCTGAAGGGAAAGGATCTTTCACCATGACATAGGTATTTAATACATACCGTATTCGACTTAATAAGCGCTAATATATTTGCTAATATATTGACCAGTGAACAATCCCAATTGGCACCCCCTCTGATTGATCAGTGTACACAAGACTTATTTAATCGCGTATAATACGCACTCATGTGTTATATGCAGTTAATTATGGGCAAATAAATTCTGGAAAATTATATCTGTCGTACATAAACATTTTAGGCTGTCAGCATAAACCACGAAATTTATCTTTCAACTCTGTTTTTTTCTCACCAAAATAATATTCCAATAAGAGCCCCCTATTTCTAATTTTGAGATCGCCCTGAGCGCTTATTACGTCAAATACGGTACATCAAGAGTTAACTTTGTGATTGGTTGAATTTGAGGAAGTAAAGGAAACATGTTCTTCCTTTGGTCACGAGTTTATCGTTATATTGTAGTTGTGCTAATTGGACAACTATTCACTGACATTATTACAACAAACACGAAACGTCAGCACCAGAGAGCAACCAGCTAAAGTCCCGACCATCCGTCCAAACAGATTCCACAGGGTGTAAAAGGCAAAATAGCACTGACAATTATATGAATAGATCACTTAAAGTCGGTGATGGCGGGGCACTGTGATGTTTTGGAAAACAATAGTTTGTTCCCGAAATTTCTGTATAAAAGTAGTGTTGCCTCACGATTTACAAACAGGTTAGACATACTGCATGTGTTTTGCCACAAAATGTGTTTTGCCAAACACTGGTTGTGAGTTCAGACCCTGTAGAGATGTTTTGTCCGAAAAGACCAGCCAGGATCCCAGGATGTGTGGTGGCCGGTAGTCAGGCTATGTGACTGGTTGAGTGTCAGTCTTATTACCCTGGTGGCGTTGATCGTTGCCGATGTGTCACATGATTTCCTGGTGCATATTCGTATATACACTGCCCCTTTGACATACCTTCACTACTACTGGTTCGGGCGTTATACAACATTAATGTACTCAATCATATGAGGTCCAATCATTACATCCGTGCGTGCTCGTTAGCACCTCGCTGCTTCGTTCGTGACCAACTCGTGTTATTCCGGAACATGCCGAATTGCGACTCGTGCCCCTCTCATGGCCATTTTGGCGACCGGGTTCCGTCTTAGCGCAAACGGGCATACCTAAAACAATTGTCAACTCGGTGCATAATGGTTCACATATATTTCCCCATACTAGTATATTATATGTATTTCAGATGCAATTTAAAGCACATCGGGACATGCGGAATTATACAGTGTGATAGAACACATATAACTGTGTCTTGGTATATTTTTAGATGCAAGATATATGTAAAATCAAAAATTATTCCTGAGGAATTCTTTGACGAAGAACTTGAAATCATACGCGCATTCTGATTGGTTTGTCGTATTTTCGCACATAACATTCATCGATAGAGGGACGAATCTTCTTGCAGGTTACGGAAAGGAGCGAGTGGTGACGAATGCTCGCTGCTTGTCTTTCGAGGCGATCGGACGTCAGGTTCCGTGACATGCGCGGTAGATTGCGTGTCACTGTACCTCGATGGGGTTGATTGTTGACTTCTGTCACTGGTTTGCCTTGTCCGGACACGTTCACCCACAGGCCGTCGTCATAGTAATTGTTGCTTAAATTGCCAAATTAACACTATACCGTCACGGTAAACACTGTGTTATTATGTTGCAGACTATTACCGTCCCTACACTGGCTACACCCTGTCCCATCAGACTGACCTCTGTTACCAGTGTACACTGTGTTATTATGTTGCAGACTATTGCCGTCCCAACACTGGCTACACCCTGTCCCGTCAGACTGACCTCTGTTACCAGTGTACACTGTGTTATTATGTTGCAGACTATTGCCACCCCGACACTGGCTACACCCTGTCCCGTCAGGCTGACCTCTGTTACCAGTGTTCACTGTGTTATTATGTTGCAGACTATTGCCACCCCGACACTGGCTACACCCTGTCCCGTCAGGCTGACCTCTGTTACCGGTGTACACTGTGTTATTATGTTGCAGACTATTGCCACCCCGACACTGGCTACACCCTGTCCCGTCAGGCTGACCTCTGTTACCGGTGTACACTGTGTTATTATGTTGCAGACTATTGCCACCCCGACACTGGCTACACCCTGTCCCGTCAGGCTGACCTCTGTTACCGGTGTACACTGTGTTATTATGTTGCAGATTATTGCCACCCCAACACTGGCTACACCCTGTCCCGTCAGACTGACCTCTGTTACCAGTGTTCACTGTGTTATTATGTTGCAGACTATTGCCACCCCGACACTGGCTACACCCTGTCCTGTCAGACTGACCTCTGTTACAAGTGTACACTGTGTTATTATGTTGCAGACTATTGCCACCCCGACACTGGCTACACCCTGTCCTGTCAGACTGACCTCTGTTACAAGTGTACACTGTGTTATTATGTTGCAGACTATTGCCACCCCGACACTGGCTACACCCTGTCCCGTCAAGCTGACCTCTGCTTCCAGGTGAACACTGGACAGAATACTTGGGACAGGGCCAATCATGCATGTGAGACGGATGGGGGCTCGCTGATTAAAGTGAACACACCAAGGAAAATACAATACATCAGAAACCTGATAACATCCAACTCTGGTAGGATACAACCTGTGAAATTGTCTCAATATATTTGAAGGAGCACGGGTGGTACAGTTGTTCATGGCGTCACAATTAGTAGTCGTCAATATTGAAGGCGAATTTGAATTTGCTGTGCCATGATGCGTCCCTTAAGCATGCTAACCCATGTTTTCACATCTAATGCCTGCATGACTTCTCGTCCCACATCTAGCTGACACGCCGTGATACCACTGAAATACTGTTCAAAGCGGCGTTAAACCCAACTGTCTCACTCACTCGCTCACTTAAACTATAATATAAGTTCGTTTTACTGTGAACTTTACCATCCCTTACACAAATCCCTTTCAGAGTAGGGGGCACTCGTAGCCCAGTCGTCTAAGGCGCCGCGATGCGCTGTGCAGAGTCGCGTCCCTTGGGCACACCAGAAGCCTATGATCGTGGGTTACAATCCCGGTTCGCCCCGGTTTCTAGGTTTGTCAGCTCGTGGGTTTCACCTCAGACCTGCATCACTTGGGGCTTTCCTCCCACATAAAGCTGACACGCCGTTACATGACTTGAATACTGTTAAAAGCGGTGTTAAACACAACTCACTCACTCACTATTATTTTAAAATATTTTTCTTATATTATTTGTCACATTTTCAGTTAAATAATCAACAACCACATTTTAGGCAAGGGCCAAGGAATGTTGTTTTTTTAATTCAAAGCTTAAATATTCTCATTAAGGTATCGCTTCTTTATCGCTACCCAACAAAGAGAAATAATGATTTTCCTCTCGCATTTAGCTGATACGCCGTGATATAAATGGAATACTGTTAAAAGCGGCGTTAAACCCAACTCACTCACTCACTCACTCTTTCAGAGTACAATTCCGTGGACTTCGCTATTGGAGGAACTTTGCTATCGGGTCAGTGGGCGTGGTCAGATGGATCAGAGATCACCCATGACGACTGGGCCGAAGGTCAATCTCCCTTTGATTCGAACAAGACACGTGTTGTTATGGCGATGGCCTCAGGTCACAAGTGGAAAAGCGTCACACCTACCGAAACAGTGGGTTATATCTGCCAGCTACCCTTCGTATCGCTCAACCCATACGTGTGATACTGTGTCTGTGTGACATTGTGGGACATATGTGGGACATCGTGTACCATCTTTGTAACGCGGATGTTACCGGCAGGCCAAGACATGATTACCCTTTACACGAACACCTGGTGTCATCACTGATTTTCAGCCATTTTCCCCTTTACGTCAAATGGAATATGTTTCGGCGGAAACATATATAGGTAGGGCTCCCGGTGAAGATCCCGGTTAGAAGTGGTTTTCAGCAACCCATGCTTGTCGTAAGAGACGACTAACCATCTTCCCAAGTCAAGGGCGTTAACTGACTATAAAAGTCTAGTTTCAACCCTTGCCGAACTAGACTGGAATTTCTTGGCACGATCGTAGCGCCACTAAAAGCTATTACGAGTTATGCCCCTTCTATGTTCCTCCAACTGACCAATCCGATTACACCTCTCGTATCACATGTATTTGCTTCAAACAAAATGGCGGCGCCCTGTCAAGACCGAGGGGACGATTTTATCGCTATTCAAGGTCTATATTGTAATAAGACGGGTCTTACCTCGCGAAGTGCATCAAATCACCTGAGCACCTTGATTAAAACATGAGAAGATTTGCAACATATCTGTTGGCCCAGTTGGCGTTACACACGATTCGCAAATCCTGCAATGAACCGAAATCTGCTTGTTGAAATCCATGTTTGTTTACGAACCGGATGTGGAAACTGGACTTTTATTGTCAACTAACGCCCTTGCCTCGGGAAGATGGCGACTAACAGGTGGGTTAGGCTCGTTGACTTGGTGATGCATGTCATCGTATCCCAGTTGAGGTGAAATGGGGTTTAACGTCGCGTCCAAGATAATTGCACATATAGTCCGGACTGATGCCGATTTATAGTGCTAGCTCACTGAGATACCATACCGCAGGTTAACATGTATACAGACACAGTATACTGACTCCGGCTGACCAGTCCTTGTTTTAGCCCCTTAATGCCCAGCGCCAGACAGGGTAACAACAAGTACCATCTTTAAACGTCTTTTGGTATGACGCGGTCGGGGATCGAACCCCGGACCTTCCGCTCTACCACTAGACCACGGAGGCGGTCTTCCCAGTTACGTAGAACGATGGTCATGATGCCAAATTTATTAGAATGTCTGGTCCAGACTCGATTATTACACATCGCAGTCATATAGCTGGAATAATAGCGAGTGCGGTGTTAAATAATCAATCAAATAAACCAGGTAGGGCAGGACATGCTTACCTTTAACGCGAAAAACCCGGTGTCATCACTGATTTTCAGTGATCCATTCCTATAATTGTCACCGCTATTTTGTCGTTTACGCCAAACTGAATCTGTTTCGGCGGATAATCGAGACTGGTTATTCTCTGGCATTGACATTTTATATTTACTATACATGCTGTGTGCACGAACCAGAGGACACAACACACTGTACATTCAGTCGCAGTTGACTGTCTTTGGTTCATTGCATCAGCTCTAATTAGAATTACTTCCTGTAGTACTAGATTCATTGTACCCGAATGCGCATACATATCTCATAAACCTGCAGTTAAAAATCGATTTTATTGTTTTTATATCAGAACGACAATATTCCCTAAATGGTTGTATTTTATAATCGAGGATTGTTATTTTAGATTTCGCAGAATGAGATCTATTCGCCTAGGTCAATTGCATGGTTCGCAAATATAGTTTTAGATCGCCTGAACAGTTACACATGATATGTATTGCAGTGCGTTTTCCTTTTAAATAAAAAAAAAATATATTAAAGAAGTGGCGAATCTTTATCTTGTGGCCTCGATATTGGAACATACACTGAAAGGAAACTTTGCACCAGATTGAACAACTGTAATTAATAAACTAAAAATAACAAAAGTTTGAGGTAAAGTATATTTATTAAACCAACAATTCCACAAAGTATTGAACAACTCAAACTTGACATTGACACCAAATGTGTCACTTTAATACCGAATGTGGCCACCCCGTGCCTCCATACATGCAAAGACTCTGCGTCGGACGGAAAACGTCAAACGTCTAATGACGTCATGTGGCAAGCGGTTCCATTCATCTTGTAGAGCTTGTATCAAATCTTGTCTGTTAGGTGTTGTCGGATTCTATCTCGCCTGTCCAAGCAGTCCCAGGGGTGTTCTATGGGGGATAAGTCAGGACAACATGCCGGCCACGGTAAGACGTTGACGTTGTTGTTGGCAAGGGGTCGTGTTGGTACAGAACACCTCGGGGTTGTTGCTGGAGGTAGGGCAGCACTACTGGACGGAGGGTGTCATCTAGACAGCGTTGCGCATTGAGGTTTCCATTGATGACCACTTCCACCGTAAGGAACGACTTCTTGAACGCAGCAAGCAGCTGTCCGTTCACCACCGAAACACGCTGTCTGCCATCAAATCTAAACAAACAGAACCTGCTTTCGTCCGTAGAGACCACGCGTTGCCAATCTCGACGCTGCCAGCGTCGCACTGTATCAGCCCATCGTATTCGTCTACGTCGATGTTCAGCGGTCAACGTCTGTCCTCTGAACGGTCGGTTAGCCCTGATACCTGCTGCCCGAAGACTTCGGGTCTCCCGATGTCCTTCCAGTCTGTCTGAAACGCTGCACCAAGTTTCCACGGGAACAGCCAAATGTTCTTGCAACGTGGGTCTGCGTGGTCTTGGCATTTCAAATGTGTATTTTTACACTGTTGATGTTTGACATTGATACTGTGCAGTTTTCTTATACCCCGGTGGCACGTGCGTTTCCACCAGCGATGACATCACCTGATTTTACATTTTTCGCATTTTCCCCCAAAACACTTGCACATTACCGGTAAAAATCACAGGTACAACAACGATGCGTTGCCGCTATTTGGATTTGAACCAGTAAATCCAATTTAAAATCACATTATTTTCAAACATGCAAAGTTTCTTTTGCAGTTCAGCTTATATTCGTTTAAGCAGAAAATTACCCAAAGGATACAGGTCACACCTTGGTTGGGATCAATTACTCCGGAAGTCCCGGACCAGTCCTGACTGGAACGTTTACATGTGTCCAAAGTGTCAATATTATGGAACCATAATTCGTTAATCCAGATGCTTTAACTACGTAGAGTACCTACCGTCCGGATTAACGTGGCTCCGCTGTTAAAGCACTGGGATTATGGGGTTATAAGACATATAGTTATAAATATTTAGTATCCATGCAACTGTTTTTCAACATTTGCTCTAAAACTGTTTCCATATTTACCGCACCACCACACTGCTTATTTACTTCCGTTCTTGTCGACAGTAGTAACGCCATGTTTGACACGTTATGCATATTACATGAGATCAATTGATATTCTACACTCGAGCACTCCGAAAACAAATGTTTCACACTCGAATTGTTTGTGAGTCGATAAAAGGCGATAATGAGCGAACAACACTTTAATTATTTGAGTACAGTTAAACTGGTTGGTTATCTTGTCAACAAACATTCAATGCTAATGATCATGAATAATGAAACCTGACACCAAATGATGCTGTTGAATGCTCTTTGTACTTAAGCCTTGGGCTGATATAACTTGATCTCATGTAAATTTAATCAGAGGTATCTAATCGACAGCGAGAAAATAAACATGGAGATTTTAGAAACTAAATAGAACTCCCGGCACAGCCTTTTCACTGATCATTTCACTTGTGTACAGATGTTTGTGGTTGTGGTTGAATGTCGCCTTCAGCAGTATTCCAGCCTATAAACAATCAAGTTAACCACCGGTTGATATAATGAACAGCGATCTACGCCGCTAGGGAACACAGACTCGATATAAACCAAGTCACCGAGTCGGACTACCCGATACGTTACGTCGCCTCGCACGACAAACATCGATTGCTAGAGACGGACTTAGGTAACGGGAGACAAGCATATATTACTGGGGACAAACATGGATTACTGGGTACAAACATCGGTTGCTGGAGACAAGCATAGGTTACTGGAGACAAATATATATTATTTGGGACAAACATGGATTACTCGATACATACAAAGATTACTGGAGGCAAACCTCGGTTGCTGGAGTCAAAGATCGGTTACTGGAGACAAACATAGATTACTGGGGACAAACATGGATTACTGGAAACATACAAAGATTACTGGAGGCAAACATGGGTTACTGGAGACAAATATATATTACTGGGGACAAACATGGATAACTGGATACAAACAGGTTGCTGGAGACAAATATATATTACTGGGGACAAACATGGATTACTGGGTACAAACATGGATAACTGGATACAAACATAGGTTGCTGGAGACAAATATATATTGCTGGGGACAAACATGGATTACTGGGTACAAACATGGATAACTGGATACAAACATAGGTTGCTGGAGACAAATATATATTACTTGGGACAAACATGGATTACTGGGTACAAACATGGATAACTGGATACAAACATAGATTGCTGGAGACAAATATATATTACTGGGGACAAACATGGATTACTGGATACAAACATAGGTTGCTGGAGACAAATATATATTACTGGGGACAAACATGGATTACTGGGTACAAACATGGATAACTGGATACAAACATAGGTTGCTGGAGACAAATATATATTACTGGGGACAAACATGGATTACTGGGTACAAACATGGATAACTGGATACAAACATAGGTTGCTGGAGACAAATATATATTACTGGGGACAAACATGGATTACTGGGGACAAACATGGATAACTGGATACAAACATAGATTGCTGGAGACAAATATATATTACTGGGGACAAACATGGATTACTGGGGACAAACATGGATAACTGGATACAAACATAGATTGCTGGAGACAAATATATATAACTGGGGACAAACATGGATTACTGGGTACAAACATGGATAACTGGATACAAACATAGGTTGCTGGAGACAAATATATATTACTGGGGACAAACATGGATTACTGGGGACAAACATGGATAACTGGATACAAACATAGATTGCTGGAGACAAATATATATTACTGGGGACAAACATGGATTACTGGGGACAAACATGGATAACTGGATACAAACATGGATAACTGGATACAAACATAGATTGCTGGAGACAAATATATATTACTGGGGACAAACATGGATTACTGGATACAAACATAGGTTGCTGGAGACAAATATATATTACTGGGGACAAACATGGATTACTGGGTACAAACATGGATAACTGGATACAAACATAGGTTGCTGGAGACAAATATATATTACTGGGGACAAACATGGATTACTGGGGACAAACATGGATAACTGGATACAAACATAGATTGCTGGAGACAAATATATATTA